AATACAATTTCTTGTCAAGGAGAGAGTATCTATGAAGAGTGGAAAAAAGAGGCGTTGATGGAAAGCAGGGAAGGCTGATAAGATCATTCTTGCTGCTGCTTTTACTTCAAGTTTTATCTCATGTTAAAGCATCTTGTATTTTCAGGCATTACTGGATTATGGCTCAGCTTTGTATTTTAAAATGGTTCCCTGCAGTGGTGAGAAGCCTTTACCTTTTTTTATCATATCAGAGGCAATAACTGAGGCTTTGCAGCATGTCTGCCTAGCTGCATGCAGGGAATAACTTGTCTTTCGGCTCTGCTGACTCAGCTTATTCACTCAATTATGTTATTCCAGGGAGAACGAGAGAGGTTTCCTTAATAATGAGCTGCTTTGGCAAGAGAGCTCACTTATGTTTTTGTAGACTGCCTACAGTGTTGTGGACAGTTGTCTGGAAGATGCTGTTTGCACACTTCTTAAGGTGTGAGTTCTGGAGCAGGGAGCTTTGTGGGGAAGTCCAGTTGGTGGAAGGGGTGGAAGAGTACAGCTTGCAAAATGTACTTGCAAAATGAAATGGAGCAAACTTAAATAGGAGGTAGAGGGAGATATGGAGCATAGAGAAGGTAGGCACCACTGTCTTGACTTGGAAACATGAGAAGCAGAATATGATGGCTAGGGAGGACTGAATCTGAAGTGTAAGAATGAATTTGCTAAAGAGGTTGTGTAGAGAACAGTGGCTCTCAAGTGTTGAAAAATTTTAGAAAAGAGTTCCTAAAATCAGGAAGTTTGGCTGCTCCTCCTCTATAAACAGTCACCATTGAACATCAGAAACATTGAAGCCTTTTTGTATGACCCTTTGCTAATAATGGTCATTAAAATGGTGGGGAGGTGGGTTGGGAGTCTTAGACCATTATCTTATAAGCTTGTTTTAAAATGTTTTTGTAGTCTTATTTCTAGATATATGTGCATACACTGATTTCAGAAGCAAAACATGTTCTAAAAATATGGAATGACATCTTCAGTGAAGCATGTTTCCTTATGAAGGACTTTGATATTTTGGATAGAATATTTTACTTGAACCCCAGATTTTAATTATACTGACTTTCAGACTGAAGTTCCTTTTATATTATCTGCAGTAAGTTTTGCCAACTTCAAAGACAAAGAGGAGAAACCCTGCATCTACTCAGATAAAGCTATACTTTCCATGGATAAAAAGTTGCTTTATAGCTCCTGTATTTATCAGATGGAACTGTTAAGTTCAGGTTCAGCAGAATTAAAGATAGTTGGTTATTTTCTCTAAAAAAGTGTATATCTTCATTTAATAGCCACGATGAAATGCCTGTAAGAGATTACAGGCTAATAGGAAAAGAGATAGGAGCTATGATTGTATCAGCCTCATGTTCTGGAATGCTTTAATCTCTCTGAACCTTGACTTCTAAATTGAGAATGGTTAAGCAGCTTTAATTCATAATATTAAAAAAAAATTAAATTCTTAATGCCTGTTTCTTCTTATTAAGAGCAGTAAATACATATGGCTTAGCAATTCCCAAACCTATTTGAAAATTAATGGGGTGAGAAGAGTAAGTACTTTGAAAGTAAAGATTTTAGGGTATTGTCAGAGAAACTTCTGGGAGACAAGGAGACCCCAGACTTCAGCTTAAGTGCTCTTTTTCCTATTACCATCTTGCTGATTAAAGAGTCTTCCCCAATGAACAGTTTCTTATAGCTGAATAGTCTAAAGCATGAATCATGCTTTAAGTTAGAATATACTAAAATAAGTTTCTCTTCTTTGCAGGAAAACAGACAAAGCAACTTATGTACTAAGCTCAGTATCTTAGCACATGTAGACGTGTGTGTGTGGTTACGGGTGTGAAATTGTGCATGATTCTGATAATTCTTACATTTTCTAAGTCATGACAGAAAGTTCATCTCTGTATCACAGAATCACAGAATATTCTGAGTTGGAAGGGACCCCCAAGGATCATCAAGTCTAACTCTTAAGTGAATGGCCCATACAGGGGATTGAACTCATGACCTTGGTGTTATTAGCACCAAGTTTTACACAACTATGAGCAGTTCTTAATTTCAGAGTGGTTGTCAGTATGCAATTTCTTACATGATCTCTAAACCCCTGAGTATATTGACAAGACTGTAGGAGCACGCTACACAAGTGTGTGAGGGGACTTTTAACTGCTCTCTGGCACTGTCCTTAAAGGAGAGCATTTGCCTTTTTTAAGAAAAAGAGGGGGAAAGCAGCAGGAAAGGTGTTAAAGGTTCCGCAAGATTTGGGTGCTCAGCAGCTGTGACTGCCTCAAGAGCTGTCTGAACTCAAGTCCAGCGCAAAACTGTAACAGGATGGTGGTTTTAAGAGAAGGTGTGAGGACTGGGTAGAAGGATTGACAGCTTCGTGTTAGCCACATTTAGCATGTCCTGACAGTTCATTAGAAAATTCCTGTGAGAAAATGTCTGACATGAAATATAGTTGTTACCAGATAGAGTAGATAAAGTCAATGTTTTAAATGTAATTAGGAAAGATTATCTTATAAGTGCACGTATTTCACTTTGCAATTTGAAGGAAATAAATTAGTCAGATAAAAGAGTTGTTAGAGAAAGAATTGATTCAGCAATTCTGTTTCCAGCTAGTCTGTTGACAAGCTTTGTTCAAAGCCTAATAGAGATGTTGTGTCACTAAATATGCCATCTATGCAAATCTTGGTCAAAGCAAAGAGCATTGTAAAAATTCACAGTTGAATGTGTTTCTCCTTATTTTCAACCCAGTTAAAGGAAAAAAATGCTTGTCCTGGTTATTAAAATCTATTAGCAGGACAGATAGTGTGTACCTGTAGAGCACTTTTCGTGGCTTTATACTGTTAGATAAGGAGAAAATGTTTTTATATTGGCTTAGGTGAATTTTGGCTGGTTTGCTTTTTGCTGTAGACTTCATGCTTTCACCTTAAAGTTTCATTCATTCCTGAGGCATTCATCCCATCTACTCCATTAGAGAAGAATTGTGCAAATAAAAGTAGGAAGTGGTTGTGTAATTAGAGACTATCATAATGTAAATGTTTCTCCTGAAGACTTAATTCAGGTCATCTCAGCCAGCTTCACTGGCATAGACCACATTTATAATACCTGACTTTGCTACCTGAATGTTTATTGTTACCTCTAATCATGTGACCCTGCTTTAAGGATTGAACTCTTTGCAGCAGCCTTGCTTCCCTTCCCTCCTTGGTGTTGCTCCACAATCACTCTCCTGAGGGAGAAGGTGTTGCCTGAGGAGGGTGTAGTGATGGCTGCCAGTTTTAGTCATCAGGCAAATTAAGCTGTCTCAGCCAAGTGCGTATTTACGTAATCGGTACTCTTTCTACATTGCTACCTTTCCTGGATCTTGCAAACGTGTCTGTGTGAATCCCCTAGATATGGACTGCTGGATTCATTTGGCAAGTCTGAAGTTTGTGAGAAGAGTTTGAGTTTTTTTTCTTCCTTCCCTCCTTCGGTTCATTTCCTTGGACTCCTCTTGGGAAAACACAGCTATTCAACTGGGAGGTGGCTCTAGATAGCAACTGGGAGTTGGGTGTGCCATCTGTTACACTGTTATTTTTATGGAAACAGGTCTCCCTTAAGTATTGACTATTCTGTTGAAACAAATAATACATTATCCAGAAACCATGTGTTTTTCTCATTATAAAGCATCTTGACCTCTTTTATTCTGAACTTGGGAGGAAATTATGTGTTGACACTAGCAATTTGTAAGTTCTTTTGTTTTGACTACTATCATGTACAATGGAAAAGGCAGTTTGGTGACCTAATATATTCCCTGAAGTATAATTACTGGGTTGGGGGGGGGGGGGTTGTAATTTTGAATGTTTTTTGATAACCAGCTTTACAGCAAAAGTATTTCTTAACTGCTGGACTGTCTAGGAAGTCTTTTCTGAGACATAACTCAGAAAAATGTGTATGGTCTCTCTGGTCTGTCTAGCATGTTCTCTAAATTTTGAATAGTCCTCAGGTTAAATGAGAAACTAGTATGTTTAGAAACCAAAACAAAAACTAGAGCTAACAACAGTCAATTTGACTAATACTAATTAGTAGTGCCTCCCTTTTCTTCAGTGTTACTCCTGTTCTCTTGAATTTTTTTTCATAGGCTATGAGCAAACAGTGTCTTGTATTGGTGTGATCACTGCAATCTGAAACAAGATAACAGAAATGGAATATTTTTTAAAAGCAGAAAATTGGCTACTGTGATACTCTTTAAGAATATAGAGTGTAGAAATACTAGCACTTAGGAATATCTCTGAGTTAATTCACAGTGGAGATTCTCTTATGAAAAATAATTTCAGGTATTATCATGCTAGTTGCTTGAGCACTATCAGGTGTGTGTGTTGTGTCATCTGTCCCATCCCCCAAAATATATTTTCTTATATAAATAAAAATTTATATATATAAATTTCCCTGTCCCACAAAACTAAGGACAAATTTTCTGGAGTATAAAACAGGACTGCTTCTTATATTTCTGGTGTCCTGATTTGTGCCTAGTCTTTGAGCTGCAGAAATAACTGGTGTTTAGATAGCTCTGCGTCTTACAGAGACATCCCTGTTTCTGTGCCAAGTTGCCAGTTGCTACCCATCTTTTCTGCTCCAAGCATGAGACCTTTCAACTTCTCTTTTCAGAGAGTGTTTTCTAGCCAATTTACTTACTTTCTGATGCTGAGAAATGTTCTTATGGGTGTTGTGACAGTGAATAATTCATTAATAAATCTCAAACTGAAAAAACGTACACAAATTGTCAAACTGTTTTCTTTTTAACAACTTCAACAGAAAATAGGGCTATAGTTGTTAGATAGGCATTTGGCACTGCTCTGGACCTTTTCTATGTGGATAGTTTGACTAGTTCAGAGTTATAAGGAAAATATGTGTTTCTGTTTAACTAGGTTATTACACTTTGAGGTTATCAAAGAAGTTTCAAAGAACACTATGTCTCTAATTCTTTGACCCCTAATATATTTTTTTTTCTTCTAAAGTCTAGGGATTCCATCAAGTTGGATGACCTGAAGGCAGAAGTGTCACCACGAATTTCAGCAGAAGATCTGATTGATTTGTGTGAGTTGACGGGACCTAGTCATTCCAAAACACCTATAAAGAAAACAAAGCCTAGCAAGCCAAAGCTGCTGGTGGTGGACATTCGTAACAGCGAAGAGTATCCTTCAAATCTGAGTGCCAGTCTTGATAAATCATGCTTGTATCAATTACTTCTTCATTGTCTGCAGACAGCGAGATGTTAGAATGGTAAATAACGGAAAGGCATGTGGTATAGGTAGAGTGGAAGAACTGAAGGCAGGGGGATTTGGAGGGAGGCCTGGTTTGCAGAGAAGAGGACAAATGTATTTTTGCCTTCCCATTTTAAACTGTGAGTTTAGTGAAATCACTTTGTACCAGTAGCATGAGTGCTTTGAAGCTACATTTTTCTTCATAACAGGTATTGTCAACAGACCTTCCCCATTTAATATGAACAATATTTTGAAAGGGCATGAGGCTTTCCAATGAAGTAGAAGGGAGATAAAGAAGATTTGATAGATCATGTGCTTTGTCAATTCCTCAGTGGAAAATTGATTCCTACTGAGTGTCTTCATGCTACTGTTAGGTAATGCAGCCATACAGCTGCCCTAACTTATGTTCTCCAGTAGCTGACAGTCAGAAAAGTCTTAAAGGTATCTTGGAGCTATATTTTTATCAGGGTCACTACCCTGCCTACACCTTACTCATTTGTTCCTTTTTCAATACATAGTTCTTTGCATGTGGAGTGTTTGGGGGGGGGTTGAGGTTGTTTGGGGTTTTTTTTTGAAGTACTGTAATTATAGGGCTGGGTTTGTTTGCGTTTGAGAAGGGACAGTTCTTAAAGGTGTGCTTTTCCAGGTGCATATATTTTGGTCAACATCCATCTAAAAGTGGGAACAATGACAAGACATTATTAGAGGTAACTTTTAACATTATAGAGAGTATTTGGAAATATACTTGTTATCAGTTTGTATAATTTTTTTAAGCATTGTTAATTTCATAATAGCAAAAGTGGTGTAGATGGGGGGTTTTTTTTGCAGTCTGCTCTTAGCTTGCTGTGTTGCAAGTTATAATTCTTAATGGGCAAACAGTACTCAATAGAAAAATAACAAAAGATTCAGAGTTGTTTAGCCTGGAGAAAAGGAGGCTTAAGTGGGGACCTTATTGCTCTTTGGAACTATCTGAAAGGAAGTAGTAGAGAGCTGGGGGTTGGTCTCTTCTCCCAGGTAACAAGTGACAGGACAAGAGGAAATGGCCTCAAATTGCACCAGAAAGGTTTGGATTGGACATCAGGAAAAATTTCTTCACAGAAAGGGTGATTAAGCATTGGAACGGGCTGCCCAGGGAATTACCATCTCTGGAACTGTTCAAAAAAGTGTGGATGTGACACTTGGAGACATGGTTTAATGGTGAACATGATGGTGCTGGGTTAACAGTTGAACTTGGTGATCTTAGAGGTCTTTTCTAACCTTAACTGTTCTATGATTCTATGAGTTTTAGTCCCCCTTTCACTCTGAGAAAAGAAGATAATTCCTTTTGCCAGTGTCTGGCTTATTCTTAAAGGTCTTTAATGACAGAGATTCAACAGGCTCCCAACATCTTTACCAAGAGAGAAGATTTTCCGGTGGCTAACAAATGCTACTAACATATTGTATGTGTATTAGAAGAGTGTAATTTCTAGACAATGAAGTGAATGATAGATCAATGCCAGTATTTGGGCTGAAATATGTAGTAAAAAATTTAAATAATGTTTAAACCTAATTTTTTCATCTAGTTTGTTAAAATGCCACTTTAAAAATAATTGTATATGCAGAAAAGCACTCCGCTAACATTTTTTTCTATTAAATATTTACCAATATTTATGACAAGGTATGGTGAAGATAAAAAAGTGAACATACTTTTTACTATGTAGAGTTAATTTATTATTTACATAGTAAATGGAATTTTGTAACATTCTAAATTAAAATCATTACTTTCAAGAGATTATGCTTTCATTGTATGCCAGACTTGCACCTGTAATGTGATCTTCTGTGCAGATAGAACAGAATGGTTGAAGGAATACAAAAAAGTAATTTTTCTTTTGCTTACATGTATTATTTTCAGGGATCAATTAAGGATTATAATTAAGTAGAGATTCATATGTCTGAGTAGTTTGACTCTTTATTTTCTGGACTCCGGTGTTTTCTTTACTCCTGGATCAAGATTGTTGAAAATGTGGTCCTCTTTTTTCAGAGAACAGTAAAAGCATAGGCTATTTTCTGAGAGATATTCTCTCTTGATGAAGAAATTACTTTTTAGACTCCAGTTTAAAAGAGAAGTCTCTGGAAGTAAAAACTATGAAAGGTTATTGTTACGACTTAGAAAGTTTTGATCTACAGAGTTAAATTCTGTTTCTATTTCTACATTCAGCATTGTGTTATTAATTATTTAAGCTACTTCTTAGAAATGACCAAGGAGAAAGCAGAGGGAAAGCAAGTAATATTAAATGCCTATACTACAATCATTGCACTGAAAGGTTATTACCTGTGTACAGTAATGGATTTATTTATAAATCCAGTAATTATTGTGCAATCAGGATGAAAAGCAAGCTGTTTGCTTAAATGTTTCTATAGCTTCTCTAATAGCTTGCTAATAGGCTCTACTGTTGTACTAATCCTATTCTACTCTAGAAGAGTAGATTCAAAATTTCAGTTATTTCAAAATCATTTGAGTTCTATGAATTAAGTGGTTTTATAAGGCTGTCTTTCATGTTATGAAATCTTAATCAGACTTTCTATTTCTATTTCTTGAGGAGCCACCCTGTAGAGTGGAAGTCTCCATTAGCTTCAATAGTGCACTGTAATGACTGCTGCTGCTGTTTCGGTCTGGTTGAGGTTTATGGTAGACTAAAATGTCCTGTCCTTGGGTGGACTGAAATTCTAATACCCATCTGATATTAGGAGGTAGGAAATGTCATTATTAAAAAGGCAGCCTGGTAGGTAGTAGAATTACCCTTGAGTTAATTGGTTTGTATGTCCACTGAAGAAGAAAATATATGATATATATGAAGAAAATATATAATATATAAACTGTCAGCAGTTATGAATATGTGTGGGAAACCATAGGAATACTGTGTTCAATGTCCTGTTCATTCTCACAGTAAGGAAACAGTCTTTGTCACAAAATTTCAACAAACTGTACAATAGGATCAGGCAGTCTGTATGTTACTGTGGCATGTGTTTTAAAATGTAATAGACCACTGTGAGATGATTCAAAAATATGATCATTTCTTAAGTTTGTTTTTAGGTTTTTTCATCATCTATGCTTGTCATGCTAAACCTCACTCTCACTTTGTTCTCTGAGTGATTTGAAAAAAGGATGAGAGGACTTCCAACAAGTATCAAACATGCTTTGTATTTCATAATAGGATGCTTTTGAAAGCTAAGGAATTTTTTTGTAATGAATCTCATGTTGCAAGGCCACGAGCTACTAGCCCTCTTTCCCAATAAACAGCTTTGTAACAGAAGACTTTGTAATGAAAAGGTTTTATACACAAAGCTAGCAATTCATCTAAGGCTTATTTCATTTAGCATGTTAGCAGATATATTGGCAGCCTTCCATTCACGTTTTGAAAGTTATACCTGCGTACTTACGGTCTCTCAGGCTGTAGCACAAAATCTTGGCCTTTTTATTAACTGTTTTAGTAATTAGGACTTCTTAAAAATATTAGGTCAAGGTTCTCTGAGCAGTTAAGTATACTCAGTGGTGTAAGTGTAAGCAATTAAATTTGACCAAAGCCATTTTCCGTCTAAATGATGATCATTTCAGAACCTGGTCAATAGCAGTGAGAGTTATGTGGTTATAAATGGGGTTGGCACAGATGAGGGAAGGAGGGATATAATTTTCCCATTCAAAATAGAAATAAACTGACAACATTAATGAATGATATGTGATCATCTTTTGTTCTTTCAAACGTTTTAAAATAGCCATATAACAATGATGATCATAAAACTGAAACTATTACATAAATCACAAGAAATTAATGCTAATATTAAGCTAAATCAATTAAATCTTGCCTCCATTTAAGACAGCTTCTTTATTTAATAGATTCTGAGATTTAATTATAAATTTAACTAGCTTTCTGCAAGTACAGTAATAGAGTGACTAATCTAGAGATTTGACATTGTGTATATTTTTGCAGAACTTTGCTATTTTTCATCTCTTCAAAGCTGTTCTTGCTTATAGATGGGAAAGAGAAGTGTTCCAGGCATGTGTGTACAGTCTAAGAAAGTAATTCAGAGTTTTGTCAAGGTCATGGTGTATTCTCAAATTCATAAAAAGCTAGGTAGTAGTGATCCAACTTAATTTTTATTTAAGAGATTTTCACATTCAATATTTGCTTATAAAATTTCATTGAATGTTCATCCTCTGAAAGTGAAGGACAGCTAGCTGTGTTTCAGAGTTGTTTGCTTTTCAATATTGCTGTTAGTGGGACTGCAGATAATATACATGGTGCTCATTATCTAGGAATCTGAGGGCATGTACATTGGAATTTCAATTTGGATCAAAATTGTAGAGGCCTTGGGAGGGTTGACAGGAATTTTGAGGATGTTTCTCAATAATCCCTGTTTAGCTTTAGTTCTTATTGTAAGTACTTCATTCCTTTTGCATAAAATTCCTCTAGAAGAGGTACTCCAGCTGCTTATTGGTATTTGGCTCTTATTATCAGACTAGAGCTGATTAGAAGTAAAATCCACAAAATTATATATACCATAGATATCGGTTCTTTATCACCAAGTGTTTCATTTAGCAGATCATTTTCTGTAGTGCTGTGTCATATGTAGTCTCAGAAGTTTTTTCCTTCATATGAGTAAATAGCAAATATGGTTTGTCAAAATATACTATCACAAAAGGCCAACATTGCTGTATTGTGACAGCCAGGATGAAGAGCAGGTTCATCCTACAGCTGTGCAGATTTCTCTGCCTTTCAGATCTCCTTAACTGATCCTTCTTAGCTTTAACCGTGGCCATATTTCTGGAAGCATCAACGTCCCATTTGCATCAGCATTTACTGCAGAAGGGGATCTCATCCAGTGCCCAGCAACTGCAACGCTCCAGAGCTTTAAAGGAAGAGTCGTGGTGATTGTAGGAAATGCAGTGAAGAACACAGCCACCGTAAGTATTTTGCAATAACATGTATTTTTGTGCTTAGAGATACATTAGTGGCATGGATACAGACAGTAGTAAATAAATGCTAGAATCTGGAAAATTTAGATTAGTAATTATGGGTATGATGACAGGATTTGGGGTAATGTTTTTCTTGTTCATTTCTGCTTCTAGACAGACATTTCAAGTGGTCAACATCTGAGAAGGTTCATGTTTTGAAATTAAATTATTTAACATTACCCTCTTCAGCTTTAAAATCTCTATTTTTGTCATGTTAGAGAAGTGACATCAGCACTTCTAACGTGCATCAGTAAGACCTAGTTTTCAAAAGTGACTTGCATTTACTTTCTGTGGTGTTAGGAAGCACATACAAGGTAAGTTGGATGGGAACAGATACCTTATGAAGTACAAAGGAAATAAGATATAATTCATATTGCTACTAGTAAGAAACAATGTATTGCTGAGTTTTTTAGAATCATTTGTTCATGCAGTTATGATCAGTGAAGAGGAGAATGGTTCTTACTGGTAACTTTTGTATGATATTTCTATTGTCAGTGCCTTTAGAATATTCAGATTTGCCTATTCTTTTCTATAATTAAATATTTGATGGTGTTGAGTACCACCAGAATAAGAAGTATGTAAGTATTTCTCTTCTTTAAGACACTCTTCTTTAAGTAGGGTATACCTTTAGTTCACCAGTTTCTTAAGCCTGTTTGCTCAAAGGACATGACCTGTAACCAATATGGCAAGAAGGGCTGTGGATCATTAAAAGATATTCATGTCAGGAACAGCAGAAGCATCGGCACAACACGTGGTGGTGTTTATTATTCATATAGGAAGTTGTAGTGTGAGAAATTCCTTTTGTTAACCTGGATTTTATCATTTAGAAAATTAACTTGTGATATGTATCAGGTTTTTTAAATAGTAGCAGAGATGGCATAAAAGAGACTGTGCAGCATATCTGAAATAGTTTCAGTTAGTGAGTATCTAGGTTTATGTGTGAGATCTGGATAAGTTCATGATAAATATTTCAACGTGAAATGAGTTAACTTGAATAATAACAATTCCTCACGAAATGCTGAATGCATAAATCCCTCCCTCAAAGGGACAAATGCAAAATGCATAAAATGCTAAGAGCAAAATGGAGATTATTTAAATGATGCTTTACATGTTTGATGGTGGATTATGCAGCTGCTTTGAACAATTACATTTTAAATCACCAAAGATCTTAGTTTATCTCAGTAAGAGCCTATCCATTCACTAACCTCCTAAGGAATAGGAACTGGAAAAAGGAAGTGCTTTGGTGTTCGCTAAGGAGTGCCTTTATGGGATGTATTCCACATAGTACCAACTCATTTTCTGCAAGTTCTGGAGGAACTAAAACAGATTGAAGAAACTACCCCCTATATCAAATTTCCGAGTACGGAAAGGACAGAGGCGTTACAGTGCAGGTTGTCAGTTCCACCATAGCCATGAAGATACCATTTTCTTCTATGAGTGACACCTCTGATGCAAACTTAGGTATTTTGTTAAATGTTTCATTTAATGAAAATCAGATGTTTCCTTTGCTGTGCAGCTAAACAAAACTTGCTTAGTAAGTGCAAGTACTTCAGTCATGTGAGAGGTGCTGTCTTATCCTCTAAACCCAGATTTTCTGTAACTGAGACAATATTGACCCAGAATTGTCAACATTATAGCTTTTCATAAAGGAGAAGTGCTGCTTTGTCTTTTGATTTGCTTTTAGAGTTCTTGAAAACCTAACTAAAGAGTATAGAGCTTTAAATAGCAACAAAATACTGGATGGACCAGTTTGCCCACAAACTAATTGAATACTTAAGCCTAAATACTGGTGGGGACTCACCACCTCTGTCACACTCTCAAAGTGCATATAAAACCAGCCTCAATTTGACTGTGTTGATAAAACTTAGAACTTCTTTTTTTCATGGATAATTTTTAAGGCCAGTTTCAGTTTTACTCTGCATGGTTGCATAGAACTGTCTACCACTATTCATACCAAAACTATGTAGCTTTGAGGCTTGACAAGACATTAGTTATTACTTTTTAACTTTTACTAAGTCAAACAATCACAGGAAAAATTTTAAAAGCAAATGCATGGAAACAAAACTAACTTTTGTCCATGTTATGAGATGCTCAACTTAAAATGTACTTTTTCTAAACAGAGTCATGTATTTCCACATGAAATGCATCCAGATGAGCCACAAATAGAACCCTGCATCATAAAGGGGAATTTTTCAGAAGTGTTCACTGAAAGATACACCACTAAAAATATGGAGATTGGCACTGTTATACATTTGGTTTAAATTTATATAGGACTTAGAGGTAGGGGTAAGAGTGAAAAAACACTGATTTATTTATTTATTTATGGGACTGTTTGTAATTAGAAGGTTGAATCTTTCAATTGCACTTCATACTAGTAACCTACTTGGCATCACTTAAAAATAATTTAAAAAGCAAACTTGAGTATACTGAGCAGACCTGTAGAAAATAACTTTTTGCACTTCATTTCTGTTTCTGTCTTTCGTATTTGATTTGGAGCCAGATGATAAAACATTTAAATTGGAAAGCAAATGCTGTCTAGAATTTGAGAGGTGAGAGGGAAAACTGAAAACTTCACCACAGCGCTGTTCCAGCAGGAGGCAAAGGAAGCCAGCACTGTCACATACTGGCTCTGGCTCTGACAGCTCTAGTTCTAGTTGAACACTTCCTTAGGAAGGAAGAATTAAAACAGGGTAATCCTGCATGTAAAGTCATTTCATTTACTAACACTAAAAGTTAAATTAATAGATTGGCTGATATATAAGAGCCTTACTGAATGTGCCATTAGCAGCATAAAGGTACTGTAAAAGAGATATAGTGTGGTGGTATTTAGTTTGCACTTCTCTGGAGAATATTCTGTTCTTTAGGCTGGTTCTCACTTTGTGCCAGTCTTTCTTCTCCTAGGAGTTTCTGGGCACTTGTTAATAGAGCAGATATTTTTAGTCTCTGAAAACAGCAGGAAATCTCCACATAAAAGGCATTATGCTGGAGTTCATCAACCAGATTCTATTTTGAAATTTAACTTTTAAATACGTCAAGTGGCAGCATCTCATAAGTGAATTAAATTGCCATTTCCCACATCCATAGATAGAGAAGTACGTTGTAAATTCCATTATGGGCAAGGGATCATTACAGTTGGGAATGTAATAGTTAAACAGGCAATGAGTGCTCAACTGTAGCTTCTGTTTTCGGTGTATGATGAATAACATCTGATTTTTTTCACTTTCAAAGTCAGACATACAGCAAGTGAAAAGGTGGATTATAGTTATGCATATGTAGGACAGAGATTGGTTTGGGTCTTTTTTTGGAAGGGTGACATTACTTCATCTTCCCTCCCTCAGGCAACTTTGAGGTGCTAAACCATTATCTGTTTCCATTTCAAACTTTTGTCTGTATAACTGCAATTTTGACTGAATTTAGAATAGGAGGAATACCTTATTGATACTAAATCATTCTCCAGCAACTCAATTTTGACAGTGACACACTTCTGCTTGTGTAATGTGGTTGTTTCATGTGTTTCCCTGGTGGTTTAATGTATGTGTATTATTGTCTGTTAAATGCTATAACAGAATAAAATATACAGGACACTTTAATCTGCCTAATAATGTGCCTAAAAACTCATTTATTTTTTTTGCCTTGGAAAAAGATGTTTAGATAAGCTGTAAGTCAAAGCTTAAAAAATGTGTCTTTAAAGCTGGGAAATAAATTTTCAATTGTAACTTCTAATTGCTACATTGATTATTTTTTATCTAGATAAGTTATGCTGCTATAAATATATTGTCTAGACAATTTCTACAAATTACTGAAACAAAGTAGTTATTCTCATTGCATGAATTATCTCCAAAGCAAAGACAAGAAGTCCTGAGTTTCCATGAGATCTTTCTGACCCTTTTCAAGGCAAGAGGGAGAGGGTCAAGTTTAAGATTCTTTTTGTATAACATATTCCTGGCCTGGAAAAAAAGAAAAAAAATATTTTTTTCTATATGAAAGTAACATTTTCTCTCAGCACACTATCAAATATGCATTTCTTATATGAAGACTGAGACACATGTGTTAAAGTGTCTGGTTACCACTAAATTTGTGTGATTTTGTTGTCATCTTCCTCAGAGCTTTTAAAAAGCCCTTGCCAGAGAAGCAAGTCCTTGCATGCTGAAGCTGTGTCCTGTTATAAGCCTGTCTTAAAACTACAAATGAATGCCTATGAAACTTCATAGGGTGATCTGAAGATTAGGTGTTGCATAGAATACTAAGACGGGTGCATTTTTGCCTTCTAAAGACAGGTGTATTTAGTTGAAAGAGCCTAATGAAACTTCTAAAGTGAAAGTAAATAGAAATTAGACAATAAACTTCGTGAGATGTTTCCACCATGCATCTTTTAGATTCTGTGTTTCCTTGCAAATAGTCTCTGAAGAAAAGTGATTGAACAATTGGAATGAAAACTGAAGATACTTTCTATTTGCAGGGATGGAGGGGCTCCTTATGATTACTAGAATGGCTCTTTTTCATGTTTGTTTTGTTAAGGCCCCATCCTCCCATCTCTGTTCAGACTCACAGCTTTCTGGAATCATCAGGTGCCTCTTTGTTGCCTTTAAAGAGGAAGGGATAAAGCTTGTATTTTGAAAAGTTTGAATAGATTAACTAGTCAGCAACTATCCTGCTGGTTGTAACCCTACCCAATACATGGTTAAGTCTTCATTATTTTATTCTGTAAATGTAGCCCTTTTTATTATTGTAACATGCATAATGTATGCATGTTTCCCTTCTTCGACAGAAAGCAGGCCAGCTGCTGTTGCCAGTACATGCTCTTCACACAGCCCAAGAAAGACACTTGGGCTGCCAGCCAGGAGTTGTGTTATGCTGTTGTAATTCTGCCCCTGACTGTGGCTTTGGTTAGTTTGCATTGGATGCCTCAGATACAGCAGCAATGACCTAAATATTCCACTTTTCCAGAT